CATGCAAAATAATGAACTTCACTTATCATTTTTTATCGATAATCCAAAATCGACTTTAGCCAACCTTCAAGCATCGATAAAAATATATGAATGTCAGTCAAAATCAACTTAATAATTTAATCTTCCACGAATATGAACACTCGACGACGTAAAAAAACGTTACCTCTCTTGACGCCGTAGCAACCGTTTGATTGTCAAAAACGTTCATCGCTCGAACACCACCGCACACATGAGTAAGCATCGAACAATAACGCAAACGCGAATACCAGCGAGGCGTCAAAACTAACTCGGTCGGCCTGCAGATCAGACGAAATAAAAGAGAACGTCATTGGCGATCCGTGATCGCAAAACTCAACAAAGCTACGCCGACCTAGATCACACATCGCCGAAGACGTGAGCGTATGCATAATAGATACGGCGGAGCATCATCGTCCAGCAAGCTGACGTACCGAGAATAACGGGTAAACGCGAATGCGGGGTAGACGGCCGGTCGATCGCCGTGTATACTCCAAAATACGAGGCAAGAGAGAGAGAGAGAGAGAGAGAGAGATTTCCCCAAGTTCTAGTCGGAGGGTGAGCCGCCGAATCCGCGGGCAGACACGCGTGAGTCATCCCGACTGTATACGCTCCGAGCGTGCTTTTCTCTCTCGGCTTCTTCAATGGGAGTCACGTCTGGCGCGCGGCAATTGACGCGACGGTCACCTCCGCAGATGTGTTCATTGGAATTTGATTTAAAGTCCTGTTTATGAAAACGACACGCACCCGATGTATTTCGATTTTTGTTACATGTATCTTGGTCAAACGTCAGATAATAATAATTGACAGGGTGATTAATGATTAATGAGTTCTGTAAACGACAGATAAAAATTAATGACAGGGTGATCAATGATTAAGTAGATAGTGATTACGCGCAACTGTCACAACATTTTATTGTGTGCATTTGCCGTACTGCAATTGTTTCAGGTGGTTGTTGGTAAATCATCAAAATTGCTAAATTCTTCACACGCAAACGACAAGGTTCTCGAGATAAATTTTAAATGACGTATGTGTAGCTTTGATCAAAACAATACCAGGATACATGACGCGTTTTAATGTATACTCCTGTATGCGCGATTCACGAAAATCGACCACGAGGTCACGTATAGTCGCATAATTAACAGCCCAGGCCATTGTCTATTTTTCGTGGAAGCGCAGCCAACTTATTCCCTTCATAATATCGATCGACAAAGAGAACAAAAATTTCCACGGATTCGATTAAGTGGACTTAAATATAGTCGGAACCCCCCACGGGCAACTGGACGTAAACACGGGTCAGCGAGTCGATAGTTAAACAAACATAGGATCACCAATTCCTCGAAGCAAACGCTTGCAACGGCAGCCAATTAGACGTAATTTGCTTTCAAGGGGGTTTCCCATCCGAGTCTATTTTCACGTTACTCATCTCCAAAATGTTCGTGCGTCAAGTCGCGCGCGACGAGACAGCCTGTCCCTCACAGACGCTGCGCCATGGTTCGCAGCACTTATGGGAAACCGAGGGCGTCGTAACGGCGTAAACAATGCGCGCGTTTTGAAAACGAGGAAAAGGAGAGGGAAAGCGATGGCGTTATTACGGCGTCGATTGCCACGTGTGCGAGGATCGCGCCGAAATCGAAAGTCACGTCGAAGCCACTTTCACTCTCGCTCGCTCCTTCTTTTATTCATCATCGATTTAACCACCGCAACGACCGTGACGTGCGTGCGTGCACGCGCGCGCGCGCGCAGCGAAAGAAGTGTTTGTTTGTTTGTTTCTTTTTTACTCGGAACCGTTCGGCATGCTCCAATTTTCTTGTTTTCCTCGCGCACCGATACTTAAGGACTGAGCTTGCGGGCGAGATGTAGCAAACTGGGTCGAAGAAGTGGAATAGATTTTCGCAAAGAATAAGAATGCTGCTGAGTGATGTTGAATTATATTCTTGGTCACGCGGCTCTCACAACGCAATCGAATGTCGCTTCTTTCTTAGAAAGAAAGTCCGTCTATTGAATAGAGAGAGAGAGAGAGAGAGAGAGAGTTTGATGGGTTGCGATATAGTAGCTTTGGGGGGCCGACGGCATATAGGCCAGAGAAAAACTTACTCGACGGAGAGAGAAACGTTGAACGCAACACAGTTTTAAAAGTCAGATTATTCCATGCATATCTCGAACTTTTACTACTTGAACATTCCTTAAGAAGCTTCGTTAGGTATTGATGTTGACCAGCAACCGTAGTATATTTTATCCAAAGTTTATCATTACGCACGAATTGTCATAATATATTAGCTCCATAGCTCAGAAGATCGACGTATAGATTATCGCGTCTCTACATTATCAATTCGACTTGGTTTTTTAGATGCAAAATTGTTTTTTCCGCGATAGGGATAATTCTGAATGTATTCAACAAGCGTGCGATTAGATACTGCGTTGCTCTCATGAATCTTTCAAAGAATATTGCAATCATAATGTCTGCTTCTAGTACGGTCAATATGATTAAACGACAGTGCTGTGTATTTTCTAAGAGCACTAAGCGATTATCAACCATTTCTAAGTTCAACACGGCGGTACACGGTCTATCACTAAAGTATCAGAGTCTTTCCACTTGCACTTTTAATCTTCGTGCGTTATATTATACAGTGCAAGTTGAAAAATGCCAAACCCGTTGCAATAAACAAACACGAGTACAGTGTTATAATATGATTGTCAGTAGAGAAATGTTTTTCTCCGACATGTAACATAGGATGCTCCGAGTTACGCCGAACCAATCCGCGTGATGGCTGAATTCAATTAAAAGTCGTCGAAAATTCGCGACAGTCGGAGGCGAATAAAGATGAGCCCCGAGCGGCAAAATCATTGACCTTTGGTCGTCGCATCCGAGCAGGAGCCGCGGCGATCCTTAAATGCAACCGACGAGCGCGAGCAGGTCAGCGCGAGACGGGGAGAAGAAAAAAAGCGCAGAGACGAGTGTGAACAACCTCTGGAAGTCTCTGGAGCGCGATACGGATCGGGCAATACGGGGAGAGCCGAGTCGGCGGCGCCTCTTAAACGAAGCCAATAAATTCGCACCTCGAGCAGCGTGGAGACAAAAAAGCGGGTAATTCGGCCGTGGCCTCTTTCCGTCATATGAATGCGCGCATAGCAGTGGTACAGAGCCGATAGGCAAATTGTTATTGGGGTGAGAGCGGCCTTGTAATATTCCGTCACGTCCGCGTAGTGAAAAGCGCCCGAGCGCGAGTTTATTGCGCTAATAATTCGTTATGGGCGTTGACACGACGCTAATAACCTCCAACGCTCGTATTCTTGAAAATCACATGGCCAGGGTATTCGTTGGCTTTTCAATGGGTTATGGCGACGGAGAGTTTCCACGGCAGTATTTAACATCGCTCCGAGCGATTCAAGTTCGTAGCATTGTGAATTGATGCAAAACAAAATGTTATACAACGCGAAGGAGCGTGTAGACAGGATAGCAGGTAACTAAACAAATAAGTAATCAAATAGTTATATTATAGCAGATTCGCAGAAGATAACCGATCAGTTTTTTCACTAAAGCAGGCTTGCATAAGTACACCCATCCATATATTTTTGATTCATTCTTGAAGAATATACATCGTGAACCAAATAGTAAAATTATTATCGGCATGACAGATAGTATCTGATTGCAAAATGTAACGTAATATACGTTAGAAATTACAATTTAACCAAAAAAGTGGTTAACGTTAATGTATATTGAAATTACCAACGCGGTAATTGTAATGCGAGAATTCAATATGAGCGACGATGTGTAATTAACACGCCAACAATACATCAATAAGAGCGATTAAATAGACAATATATGCACACACATGGCTGGCAATCTGTGTAAATGATATTGACGATTACGTTACATATGTTACGCACGCTTGGCTTTAGCCTAATCGATATATACATTTTATGTATAATGGATGCTTGTATGCCTACCTATGAAATCAATAAACTAGATTATTTTGGACCAAGGATTATTGATTTTTTTCTAACTTTTTTGGCTGCAAATTTCATCGAAGCGCGATGTAGTGACCAAATTTGTAAGCTATCTGAGCTAGCGAGTTAACCATTGAATACTATAAAATATAACATACAAAAAATTTTAAAAAATCTTATAGCGTATGTGTCAAGATTTCCAGGTGTGGTGGTGCATGATCTATTTTGTAAAAGTGATGTAACCTCTTGAGGATAACCATTTATCACCCGGTGAAGAAGCAAAACAAATTAAAATTGCTCGATATCTGAACCATCTGTCCCTGACAGCTAGAGCTAGCTAGCCAATCTTATACAAATAACGATTATATAATTGGAACATTCGTGTAAGAAAAGTATCGATGGTTAAAGAAAATTTAAAAACATCCATTGTGTTATCGCACTCATCATACGCCTCCCCACCGTATCAACTGTCTAAGTTACGATTAACCACTTTATTTTACTGGTGAAATAATCAGACAATAGCTTTTCAGAGGGTAATTATACGGTCAGAAGCTCCATTACACACATAAAGCGTGGAGCCGATGTCGCGTGAAAACCCTCACTCGTTTCAACAGAAAAAAAAACCTTATGACATAAATAAAAATGGAGCATCTTCTAAATTCATGTATGACATAACCTCTTACTTACCCAGAGAAAGCACAAACGTCTCGGACCCATACTCCTATCCTGGATTATTAGCTTCCAAATATGCTTTCCCGCGAAAGACAGCACATTTTCACTTTGCTAGAATATACTTTCAAAAAAAAATGCCCTACGTCATATAATGCTCTCCTTCGACGACGATAAGGTGCTGACTTTCACGACCGTTCCGCCGCGCACCTACGCTAGTCTACACTGACACTCGGAAGTGCTAACTAATGTAGGGAAATTTTGTCGCACGGAGGGTCGTAGTAGTCGCTTTCGGGGAAACTTTATATTTTTAAATCAATGGGCTCTTAGTAAGTCAATTTAGTAAGAACAACATATTAGGAAAGGCAATGGAATTACAAAAGAATACTTTTGATATTGATTGATGCGCAATTCATGTAACGCGTAAATTTTTTTCACTTTTCACTGAAAAATTGGAAATTCATATAGGTGCAATTGTGTGTTAGCGAAAGATTGCGAGGCAACGCGGATAATTAGTGGTTTTTATAACAAATATTTTTTTAATAAATAAATTTTATTTCGTTTTAACATATAAATAGAAGCATTTAACTACATGAAAAATATTTACAATAACTTTAGCCTCTTAAAATCATCACTCAACTTCGAAATAAGAATTATATAACATAATAAAAAGCTATTTACAGATCATCGTGAAACTATAATAATAAATAATTCAAACATAAAATGCTTGACTAAGTTGAGACTGCACTTAAATTATAAGATTCAATTCTAATGTTAATTAGTTCGTTGAACTTCTGTATTGGAATGCCTTGCATGATTCATCATAGACTCAACACGATTAGCAGTTTCTCTAACAACATCGGAGAGATCTTCAGGAAGGGTAGGAATATGTGCTGAAAGCCTCTTGTACATAGAGTCTTTGTTGCCTTCAGCTTTTTTGCGACGTTGCTCTTCATATTTTATTTGCTGTTTATAAAAAATAGCATTCTTCAATAGTTCTAAAGTATTATTGAAACTCTTTGTAGCCCCTTCCATTCCTCTAATAGCACTGAGTGCATACTCAACATCATAAGTGTGACCCTGTAGTTGCTGCCTGAGAGCAAATACTTCAACCCGTTTCTCCACCATTGGTGGTAAGGCTTTTCGAACATGTTCTTGCAGTCTATAGAATGCTAAAGATGGTTCATTGGCTACTATGTGCATATTTTCTGAAATTCTCTCTGTAGCTGTAAATATTTAAACTATATAACCTCAACTTCACCCTTTTCAGATTTGTAATTTTAAAAATAAAAATTTGGCACAGACCTTTTTTGACTTTAGTCTCCAATTCTTGATCTGGCTGGTACACCTTAGCTGTAGCCATATTTACAATTATTGTTTATAAACATCAACACTTAAAGAAATTCGTGTAATCCAATATAATTTCTACGTCTTCACGTTCTTTCAACAAAAATATATTTCTATTATTGCAATTCTTCATTAGATAACTGCACCGAGAATTGATCAAATTAAATTCACCTTCAAAACTAGGAATAAAAAAAGAATCAAATTGTAAGAAGTTAAAAACAGCTGATCTGCGAGTATCGACTGAATTGTAGCGGTTTCGTATCGAAACGACCCTGGCAGAAAAATGATTGATTTAAAAAAAAAAAAAATATAACATTAGCTTTGTCTTAATTCGAAAATTGCTTTTTTGGAATTTGTACCCCCCCAAAATGTTAAAAAAAAGCGAAAAAAACGATATTTCGGAAAACTTATACTCCTGGCAGAAAAATGATAGATATCTTAAAAGAAAAAAATACCACTAGTTTCATTTTAATTTGTACCATAAGAAAAATGCTTTTTTGGAATTTGTACCCTCTCTAAAAATAGAGAAAAAAAAGATTTTCGTAGGGTAGATTAGCAATTCAAATTAACGTATTACTGCGCATGCGCGTCGGAAAATCTATCTTCCAGCAGAAAAATATACGATTTAAAAAAAAGAAAATCTATGAATGCCTTCTTCTTAATTTGTACCATCTAAAAAATACATAAAACTAATTTATATCCTTGTAGAATTTGAATAATACTATGTTTTTTGTGCGATTGTAATACTGATAAATTTTACAGGAAAATCTTTTATTTTTTAAGAAAAAAATATGTTTTTAGCTTTACCTTAAATTTTACCAACTGAAAATAGTTTTATTGTAATTTTTACACTCTAAAATTTAATTAGACATGTTAATATACAAAGTCCTAATAGCTCTTTGAATATATATATAAGCCGGAAGCCCGCATATATATAGCGGCTCAAAAGTTGTGAGATAGGAAGAAGAAAGTGGTTGATATAAGGCAGAAGCATTTCGTCCCGGTGTTACCAGCTGTACTCATCAGTGAGGCTCTCGACAACCGATATACACCTGCCTCATACGCTCAGAGTGTTCGCTCGGACTCACGAGTGTGAGCTTTGGTGCTTAGCTTAGCTATAGCTCGCATTCGTGTAACCTTTTCTCGATCTCTCGCTCCGTTCCACATTGCAACTGCCAACGACAAACGGGATACGAGACAGCCTAAAATCATTAAAAAATATTCACATGGTTGTGTTATAAAAGCTGCATAACGCTAAAGGTACCCTCAAAGATCTTAACTAAACTTAACTTTGACAAATTGCGGAGGCACAACTTGACAAAATAAGTTGACCTAACATTGATTGTTCCAATCGATACTCATTTATCGAAAATAATTTAGATTTTAAACTTTACGGATCGCAGGAACTCAGCAGTAAGTTAACGAAAATCGACCGAAAAAAATTATAGAAAAACTGCGCGTAGTTAACGAAGATAGGAAAAGTTATTTATAACTTCGCGCAATTTCATTTTCATTGATAAAAAAATTATCAAAGTTGATCACTCACAGATCATCGATAACTGTATCTGCATAGAGTTTTAATAAAGTTTTTACAGAAATAAACCCGTTCAATTGTTAGCAAAAATATCACGCAGTTTTTCTATTTAAATTATTATTACAACCATCCGTTAAAGAATAAATATTATTTCTCACTACAGTCATATATATATACACACCTGATAGATCAGTCGGTAACATATATCTGTACATTATATATATATATATATATATATATATATTTACAATAATATAAGTGTACAGATCTATGTTACCGACTGATCTTTCTGGTGCATGTATCGCTATACTGAGAAATAATATTTATTCTTTAACCGATTTTTATAATAATATTTTGATTGGATAGATAAACTTCACGTGATTTTTGCTAACGATTGAGCAAGTTTATGTATGTAGAAACAGTATATAAATGTCACGCAGATACAATTATCGATAATCTATGGGCTAACAACTTTGTCATTTTTTTTATTAATTAAAATGAAATTGCACGAGATTAATAATCGATTTTCCTATCCTTACTAACGACGCGCAGTTTTCCGATAATTTTTTTGGAATGACTACTTCTGATTTATCGCTGAGTTCCTTCATCCATAATATGTCACGTTTCATAGAAATATCGAAATACATATATATATACACATACGTGGCACAAGTCAAGCGCTGATGTTCCAAGCAAGCGCCGCATGCTACACGCAACGAGTCTGAAACCAGACTGCACAGCCGTTGTCGCAACTCTCGACCATTTGTCCCGGTTCAATCGTAGGTTGACCAGTTGTTATAAGTCAGGTAAGTATGTTTTTAATTACAGTCGGTAGAAGTTAGTTTATTGTACTTCATGATTAACTGAAGATTGAATTTAGTTCCTAAATAATTGTAGGATATCGTATTAATTACTTAGTGCAATATTCAAGAATTCCTTCTAATATACGCAAAGCTAGTACAACCTGTAAATGACGCTCGTGTAATTAAACATACGCTGAGGATTAAATAGATTTCTTAAATGAATATATTGTTTTTTATGTATTTAAACACTTATTCAAAATGTCATTCAATGTTATTTAATAATTTTTGTCTGATGAATAGGATTAAATTTGTTTAATTTGCTACTTAATAATTTGGATCAAATGCTTTAAATTTTTCCATTCTACATTTTTTTGTGTATTAGTGACAAATAATTGATATCAGATTCTTTTTATAATTTTTATTTTCATTTTGTTTTTCAGAATGAAGCTTCAGTTCCTAATATGTATTGCAGCAGCAGTACTAGTTGCAGTTTGTGGAGAAGAAGAGCTCAATGAGGGTGCTCGACTACTAGTCCACAAAAACATCCACAACAAGTATCTTGTTGAAAATAAGGATGTAATTATCAAGGTGAATGATAAGATAAAATTTAAAATGATATAATGATTCATAAATATTAAAACATGATAAATATTTTTATGATTTAAATGCATTGATACCCATATCACTCATTTGGTGCCTTTTTTAGTACACTGTGTACAATGTTGGGAGCTCCGCTGCTTTGGAAGTTGATATCACTGATAATTCTTTCGATCCTGATAACTTTGCCCATGTCAGTGGAGAACTGAATGCCAGAATTGATCGAGTTCCTCCTAACACTAATGTTACCCATACTGTTGTTGTAAGGCCAAGGAAAGCTGGTTACTTCAACTTTACTTCTGCTGAAGTGCTATACAAGAGGAAAGATGATGTTCCCAAGCTTCAAATTGCTGCTAGTAGTGAACCTGGTGTTGCATACTTTGTTTCGTACAAAGAGTTTGACAAGCAATTCTCTTCCCATGTAGTAAGCAATACTTTTAAATACTTTATTTTTTAAAATTAATGTATTTTTTCAATAATCAGACTTACTTTGATTAATTTTAGCCTAAAAAAATAATTTTCTAATTTAAAATTTTTTTTCCTAGGTTGATTGGCTTGCATTTGCTGTCATGACTTTACCATCTTTAGCAATTCCATTTTTCTTGTGGTTCTCCAGCAAACGCAAGTATGAGAAGCTGTCTAAAAATTCAAAGAAACACTAGTGCTGAGATTTTTAATTAGAAGAATACAAAAACTTAATTTGCGTGATTGTGAGAGGTGCGACTGTTCTGTTGTATACTTCGAATTTTGTAATAAATTTTATTTATGAATATTTAATTCAAAGACTTTATTAAAAAAAAGCTCCTTGTTCATCACGCACCTAACATATTTCTTATATTAGAGAAAGCGTATTTACATAAAAAATATTACATTAATTTGCTTCTTACAAATATCTTGTAACCACTTTCTTCACTAATAGTTTGAGTCATTTATAGATCACATGTAATAAATGCTTATTATATAAAGTCAAACTAAAATTATAATTGTATATTTTATAAATACATAGAAAGAGAAAATAAAATTTTATTGTTTCTATATGACTACATATGATTAAGCTGCATAACAAAATTCTCTAGTTTTGTTTGAAAATATAAATTAGTAAAATAATTCATTATATTGAATTATTTAAGTATGGCTTTTTATAACTGACAACAAGAAGGTCCAAAAAATATATATTTCGAAATTTACTTTCTTCATGTAGTGGATCGGGTATGCACTGACTTTGTCAAACCTTAAATAAAATCGATTAGATTTCTCAAAATATAAAGATTGATTGAATTAAACAGGAACATTATAGGAAAAACATAATATTGAGAGTAAGAAAATTATTACCAATTTTAAACTAACGTTATCCAGTTATAGGATATGATTCGTTATAGTAAATAATTGACTATACTTATCCTTGTAAATGCTAACGCACTAATAATAATTACACTTTATACACTTTGATCTGTCCTTAATAAATATTATGTACGTCACAAAATAACTATTAGTTTTTCGCTCTTGTAAATTTCAGAGCATTACCCGTAAAAAATATTGATTAGAAAAGCATTAGTCTTGAAAACATCGGTAAAAGATCTGAAAATTCGTCACTTTCAATGATATTATCTAGTGTATAATTACAGCACAGTTCGATTTCGTCGAGCGTTCGGTGTGAAAAAACCTCTTGGATCTCCGTAGACAGGTTCGAATGCAGAAAACGGTCTTAACGGCGAACCAGGACTTCCTGGACTCGTCGGGTTAGAAGTGCTATTCATTGTAGGTCCTCCAGGACTTTTCTTATTCAAAGGTGGTGGACATTTTTCAGCTGTAAACAATAGTTTCCTTATGAGTATCTCAATCTTGAAATATAGTGAAAGTGTAACAATTAATGTAAAAGAAATACTTTACCAAAAACATTTTTGTTCTTGACCGACATATCAACATTAGCCATCCTATTTTTCCAGACTATAAAGAAGATAAACATAATCAGATTGTTTTTAAGAGATACAAAGGCATTATTAATATCACGAAGTAACTTACAATGGAAGAATGAAATTGAAAGAATAACCAAAGTTCCTAAGGTATATCTATGGAAGTACATGTAATCGACCCAATGGATACCGGAAATTCGTGGGAACTGATCGTACTTAGGTACTCGTATCAAAAGCTGAAAAAATATCACATTAAATTACAATTTCTTTCGACGTATACATTGTTAAAGTGTAATTGATTATTCTTACCGTAACATTCTGTCTTGTGAGTTCATTTGTAATGATAATCTTACGACCCTGGATCTCATCTTGATTTTGCGTTAACGTCAACTTGTATTGTGCCAGATTCTTTGTCAAAAGCTGTCGAGCACCTATGCTGACTTCTTCTGGTGTTTCAATCTACAATAATTTATTTTTATAAATATAATGAAATTTAAGTAGGAAACTTAAAAGCAAACGAAAACAACTTACAATTATACGATCTAAAACATGTGGAAGGCCATAAATGTCTAGAGTAGCAGTGGGTATTTCTTGACCTAATGAACTTAAGAATATGATTTCCCTTGTGGGAATATACATAGGTGGAAGATATGATACTTCAATAGGTGTTCCCTCAATATCACGACTCAACGCATTTATTCTAAGTCTAGTTTCTAAGGTACTTGTCATGACTGATGGAAGTCCCATTGGGATAATATCGCAGTAGTAGAAACCTAAAAAAAATAGCATAAATGTCTCGTTCAACACTTCTCAAATAAAGAAAGAAAACTTACCAGTTACAATATCGAATCGTGGTTTAGCATAAAACATATCCTTAATACCAACAGACGAGTGCAGCGGTGAAAACTGCACCATACAGATGAACGGATAATGACTCAAAACAAAGGAAGAAAGAGTTCGGCAACCACCCAAACCTCTTGATAGAATGTTGTTCTCCTTGATAGTTTCGTGCTTGCTTTTGAGTATTAAAGGCACGCTAAATACTTCGGTGCCAGTTACGTTCTTGCCTTTGAGAGGAACAAGTGTGAGTTTGGCTATTGGGTGAACGGTTACTTCTACTTCGTCGCGCAGATGTGTAGCGATGCTATGTTTCACTACAGCGCTTCCAGGGCTCCTAGCTCGACCGATGCCTGTAATTGGGTCAACGTAAAGGACTTCAGGTGCGGAAGATTGCCAATAGCCAAGTTCGCCGTCCGATGAGAGGAGAGGCATTGAAAAGCAGGCTACGTCTCCGACTGTTAAGACACTCTGAAATTAAACAATATTTATTAATAAAAGTAAAACGTACCTTTTAACGGTATTTTATTCACTTTCTATATACCTTTGTTGGAAAAAGAACGTCTCCAATACTCATGTGCACATAGTCAAACATCATGTTAGGATATTTCTCACTGTAAATTTTAGCTATGAGCTCTCCGTTTTCAATAAACTTAGCATTAAAAGTATTCTCTTCATTGAGAGTAAAGGTAACTAAATCAGTACGGCTAGATAAAGTCTTGAAGTTTATGTCAGCTGCGTGAAATTTAGATCCCACGGAATCATAGCATTCGAGCACGTAGTCCAAGCTCATACCTTTTGGTAACATAGTTAATTCTTCGCCGGTTCGGATGCGAACATTTGATTTTAAGGAGAGCATCACGTAATGAATTGGTTTAATCTATAAAGTCCAAATTCGTTAAAAAATTTAACAGATTGTGATCAAGCGGTAATAAAAAAACAGTTAAAACTTACGTAAACTGCAATAGTTAGTGTTTGTTTTGAACTATAAGCCTCGATGTTTGTGATAGTGACTATACCATGTCCGTAATTATCTCCGGACTTTAACAAACCATTCTTGTCCACAGTGATAATATCAGATACAAAAGTCAAAGCATTCTGATCATCAGATTCTCCAATTCCTGACTGACTGCTCGATGATACTTTATAGGTAGAAATGCCAAACTTATCACGATTAGTTTGTAATTTGATTGACGAATTTGGTGCCATCACAATAACTAATGACTCTGACAACGTATCTTTATTCACCAATTTTAGCTCTTCAAAGATTTCAATTTTAACTGAAGAACTGAAACTGGGCTGATTTCGACAGCCACCAAGAACGTTACATGGTGTTGTTGCAGCAAGAATGATGGAAGCCACTCCAGGATTTTTGGCTTTGGCTCTTAATGTTACTTCATTTTGATATCTAAAGAAAATTATAATATTTTATTATTGATAAAAGAACTTAACAAAATACATAAATACATGAATTCTTTTTACGTCTCACCTAACATTGATTCCTGTTCCTTCATACATATTATGCAAGGATATGAGTTCTGAATCGCTGGTCGACCACGAAAATACTAAAGGTGATTTCATGGAACCAATAATCAAGGGAGTAAGATGATCAGGAATTCCAAAAGCCCAAACAGGTATAAGAGCTCCAACTTTTAATCTGACGGTGGGAACGACGATTTTTATTCCTTCGAGTAAAATAACTTTTACTTCAGCAAGATCTTGCGAGAAAACCACCTTCTTGCCTTTCGAGTCTTCTCCTACTGCCTTGGCAAAAATGGTCGTTTCTCCGGTAGTTTTACCTTCGATAACTCCAGTACTATCAATTTCTAGAATATCCTTGTCCGCAGTAGAAAACTCTATCTCAGCGTTTTTGGGTCCGCCAATAGTCGAGATTTGGTAGATCGTGCCAACGAGAGTAGTTAAATTCTTCGGTAAGACCTGAAGTGGAGGGAATACTTGAATAATGGCTGTCTCGCTTCTGACTTCGTTGGTACCTATTCCACTACTGAATACGAGTTGAGCTTCTCCTTCTTCCAAACCATGGATCATATAAAGAATCCTATCGAATGGTGGACTACCTTGCTCCTTGCTCGATAATCTTTTCACATCGATATACCCATTCTCAGTTTCAATTTTCACATCCAAAGCTTCCAGTGCAGGTAGCATCATCAAGAATCCGTTAGTGTCATACAACCTCAGTTTCGCGACGATATGTTTTCCTTTCTCAACTTTATTGACACTTTCAACTTCAAGACTTGCAAGCTGTTGTACTTCGATTTCAACTTCTGCAGGTCTTGACGACAAGCAAAGATCAACAAGCTGGATTCTTAATGTACCAGACTTTCTTGGTATTACACTTATTGTTCTTGTAGCTTCAACATAGCGAACATCGGCCACTTCATCATTGCTAAGAATTAGATCATAGAAGCCTGAACCTTGGCTGACTTGAAGATAGTATTTGCTGTTGGGATCGTTAAGAATTTTCAGTCTTTGAGGGTAGATCGAGGTATCATTAACTAGGAAAATGTTGACACTGGCTTCGATTGACGGAGTCGATAAAGATCCCTTATCGCTTTCAACGGGAAATGGTGGGTATTCCGGTGTTATTTTATACCTAAAATAGCATAAAAAAATTTAATATGTTATTATAAAATTATATGAAATTTTATAGAACAGTAAATTTACCGTAAAAGAACATTTTTAAGATAGCCAGATACTTTGGCTTTTAAAGTCAGAGAATCAGTGTACTTTTTTGGGGTGACCTGTTGATAATGATTTTTCGGCAATGGAATTTCATAATGAGTGAACGTCTCCTCCAAACTACCGATCAAAATTTCAACGGCAGCGCTAGTAGATGGTTTGATGTTCCAATCAATACTTAAACTTGTAATGTTATCAAAACGACGACCATCTTCGTCTTTAACAATTACAAGTAATCGCAAAGCCTCTTCACTGTGGGCAACTATTCTCTCAGTATCGTGACTCACGGGACAATTCTCTCCGTCTTTGAATTCTGGTTGTAGGTAGATGTAACGAGGTTTAGCGCAGATAACTCTCACGTGAGCAACTGCTTCTCCACCTTTGCATGATGGGAATATTGGCTCGTTGTATACGGTGAACGTCAATCGTGCTTCTCCAAGCGATTTACATAAAACTTTAAATACGGAAATTTCATCTTCGTAATTCGGCTCAAACTCTGACACTTCAATTATGTTGTTGTCAGTAACGTGAGCTTCTCTTTGGTAACCATAAGTTGAATCAACCCAAGGCCGTGGTCCTCCTTTAAAGATGATGTTTCGTGATGAGCCAACTGCCAAGAGAGTTTCCGCTTTAATAGGATGAACTACGACAAGTGGTTCATAAGCAGAGACTGTTACATTGTCGGTAAGATTTCGCCCATAGGTGACAGAGACTTTTGATACTCCAACCTCTTGACTAACAATTGCAACTGTAGCACAAGCAATACTGACTGGCTCAATAGAATCACTATCAGTTTCAACAAAATTTCCGCCAGGAATGTCCACTTCGAAAGAGAGATCTTGACAATCGTTAAAAGGAATTAAACGAGTTTCATATCCATCATATAATTCACCGTACAAAACGATATGCAGATAGATAATTTCTCCTACAGCTGCTTCCATGTGATATTGAATAATTTCTAACTTCGATGGTACTAAAACGTGGACCTTGGCGGAGTCTCTATTGTGAACATTTCGAACTAGTGATACTGTTATATCTGCTGTTCCTTTTTGCAGTATTTTCAAAGCTCCATTTTGGGAAACACTTACTACTGATGGTTGACGACTACTCCAACTATATGATCCGTCACCACCACTAGCTTTTAAAGCGACGTCGTACCTATTCGCAAATTAAATTGTATAAACAAGTTAATGAGAATTTTAAAAAGTCAAGAACAAATTTATTTTACCTCGTTTTGACTTTAGGATCCCATGGCAAAGCTAGAATTTTCGGCGATACACTAACTGGTGAATGAATAACAAATTCGGCTCTTGTATAAAGTTCTGGAACAATAGGAATTTTTTTTCCTTTTTTGTTGATAACTCCATGGAGAGTAGCTTCTACAGTAGTTGTTCCTGTGAATATTGGTATTGCAACTACATGAGTTCCATTTGGTGTAGTTAATTTCTTATCAAAGTAAACATCATTGATTTTCATAGTCACTTCAACTCCTTCACCAATGTAGAATTTGTGGTCTTTGCTAAAAAGGTAATATGTCTATGAATATTTATCATAAATTAAAAAAATTTTAATGATGTTTACCTATCAAACATTTCAACAATAAGTTCATGTGTGTAACCCATAATAAGTGAACGACCTCTATGAGGTAAAGCAGCAATAGTTATGTACGATACATCTTTGACAGTTACTGAGCCAGAAGGTAGAATCGTGCCATATTCCTCATGAACATTTTTATCATGTAAAAGAACTTTTGTTTTTCCATTTATTAGGGCATAAGCGCCAGCCCTGGCATTATTAATTTCTAAAATTTGTGGATTTTCAGCTTCAAGATAGTATTGACTTGTTGGGATATGTATTTCTTCCATTCGTCCTTGATGTACCTAGATTAAACATTTAATATTTCCAATTATTAAACTGCCTACACAGAAATTCAAAAATAAATGCAAGTTAAATAACATACCTGTACTATTCTGTAGGTAAAACTATCAAATGGCATTATTGTTACATCTGATGGTATGATAATCAGATTAGCAACAACAATTAGTTCCACTTCTACAGGAGCTACATGTTTATATTCAGGATACATCAGCTTCACAGAAACTTTTGTAGTTCCAGTTTTTACTCCTTCCAGCAGAATAACATTTCCAGTTTTACCCATGACATCAAGTACTTCTACATCATGTGGCGTTTCATATGGAGATTCTTGGAAAGTCATAAAACGAAGTACATTATTTGGCAAATTACTGACTTGTGTGCCTTTCTTGTCAATGTTTCCTATCACCCAGTCAAATTCAACTCCAGCTAAAGTAGTAAACTCATTTCCTTGTTCATCATATCCACGTACTTCAAATGCTTCTGGGGCTTCCTCAATAAAAAGTTCTCTTGTAGTGGTCACTATATTTAATGAGAATATCACATCTACTATGAGATCACATCTTAAAAAATGTCCTGTATTCACATCTTCTGCAAAAACAATAGCTGTTTTTCTTTGCGGATCTCTGGTAACTGTTTGAACTACTACTTTCACAGAACATGATTGGTCATAATCCTCATCTATTGGTATCAAACGTACTACGTCATCACGAGATGTAGTCCTTCAAATAACATTAAAATTTGTTTGAATTGTCTCATAAGAAAACGAATCTAACAATTTATTTCAACTAGGATTTTTTCATGTTAATAAATTATATTAAGAAATCAAGCATTTAATACAATAGTTAGGTTATATCAACGCTTAACGAATTTTATAAAAAATGTCGCTACATAGTAAATGATTCAGGAACGACAGAATGAGCAGTGATAAGTTATAATTTCGTTATAAGTGAAATGACAATATTTTTATTTCAAAAATCAAGTAAATACTTACCACTTATAACAGCCACCTTCGGTAACTTCGAGTGTAAAATTTACAGGAAAATCATTGAATATTGGAAGTAAAACTCGAGGCACATTGAGCCGATCAGCCTCCGCAAAAGGTGAAGTAAAAAATAGCACAAATAGCACCGTAATATAATATATTTTTGATAATTTTCGCGATCCCGCCATAATCACGGCCTACATGTGTTTAGCTAAACGGCGGTTGTCCACAGATGTCCGTTCACTCTGTCTCTCACTAGTACTGTCTCACTCTGGTCACACTACTCAACAGTTCGTTACTTGCTCTTCTCTGTCGTCCGTCTTTTATCAGCACCTATAGGCCGGAATTTCAGTTACTTTGACAAATATAACTATTCCAATTATATAATATAAATTTGTAACATTGTTAAGTTGAATTCGTTAATGCATATTTACCTTTTAGATTATACTATTTGGAAAAATGTTTATTAATATGATTGCAAATTAACATTTGAATATCAGCGGGGCAGCCATTGAATCCTGCCAACTGTAGCATTGTGGCAAACCTTATAACAAAAAAACTTTTTGTGATGAGACTAAGAGTACTCTCATTGCCAGCCTCTGCCCGGATATCCCGAACGGCTCGTACTCGTAAGAACCAAATATCTATATTGCTGCTCGATCGAAAGTGCCGCGTCAACTATCAAAAGTGTTATCGTTCCATTTAGCTGTTTTATGTTTAATAATATTAATTTTTTATCTATATTATTTTTGACTAATATTATTAATTGACTGAAATTTTATCTATAAAGGTAAATATTACGGTATTTCTGTTATAAAATGCCACTCTGAAACCGAAATTTTTATTTATACAAATTTGTTTTTAGGTGAATACTTAATGTTGATATCAAATAATTTACATTAAACGTGTAATTCGTAGTAATATCTCATCATTGCATCTATTCAAGTATGAATTTGATTCATTTTTGAATGCAAAAGATAGAATAGTAAATTGAGTAGTATTTGTAGAATGAGTATAGACAGTATGAGAATGGGAGGAGGACGTTGTCCTCCCCTTCTTGTTGGAGGTCTTCTCATTGCCTGTATTATGATGGTTTGCAACTGGTGGACTTTATCTTCTACTAACTTGGAGCTTCTTAGGCAAATTGATGAATTGAATGAACAGATTAAAATAAGGTAAATAGGTTTTAACTACCCTCTTGTCAATACTATATTGTAGAACATATTATATCTTTTTATGATTGGTAAAATAAAATGGACTGGTTCTATAGTGTCGAGGAAAGAGATCAATGTGTAACACAACGAGGTATATATGAAAAACAATTAAAAGATTGTACTGATGATGCCAGAACAACTCATGTCAAACTATCACAAGTTAATGAAAACTTATCTACATGCAATGAAGAGTTAAAATCCCACAAACAGCTTGATGTTACAAAAACTGCTACACTTGAAACATTAAGAATAGATAAACAAATGTTAGAAGAGCAAAATGAAAAGCTCAAAGATGAAATCAAACAAGTAATATTTGTTCAATTTATAAGTTTTCCTTTATCAAATTACAAATTATATCTACTTAATGTCATCTCACTTCATTTCAGGCAAAGAGTGAGATAGAAAAACTGAAACTCACAATAAATGCTCCTCCACAGAAACAAACTCCAATATTACCTATTAGTGAGTATTGATTGAAAGTAATTTAGCGTTGTCATAAAATTAAACCTGCAAAAACTTGTTGCACTTGCTGATTTAGCAAGTAATACAGTTATAAACAAGGCTCAGTTGGGTCCAGTTAAAAGATCAGCAGTTGAAATTTTTGCAAAGGGACAGGAAGGCTTACAATTTCATGGTATCCCTATCTTACCACAGGATCCACCTGGAGCAAAGCGTCTGGCTCCTCAATTTTCAGTGACAAAACTAAAAAAATCATAAATTATTTTATACTTATTAGTATTTATGAGATACTCTATTAGAAGTATTATTAATACTGTTGTTTTCTTCACTAGATAATGATAACTCATTTTCTAGATGGAGTATTAGCTATATTCTACTTAAAGTTAAAATTTTTGAATATTTTTTATACAAAAGAAATCTAAAATAAACACAATCAGCTATAAAAGTGTTATACCTTCAATCTTTTATTTGTAAAATATCTTAAAAAAATTGAAATGATTTCCAGTTAGAATCCTAGAAAAGTCCAAGCCAGATAATAAGACGTCTATAGATGGAGCACCTCCAAATCCACAGATGAATGCACCTCCAAATGCAGAAAATTTAGAGCCTCTAAATCAAGATTTACAAGATACTGACAACAGTAAGTTTGTAAATTGAATTTTTCTTTCGATAAATTACTTCATAGTTCATTAAAATCCTCATTTATAATAATATTTTTTTTATCTAGATAATGCAGCAGAAGTTAATGATGCTGCCAACGTAGTAGATCCAGGTTTGAGTATGAAATTAATCTCTGACATAAATGTTAAAAGTGTACGCAAAACCAAAAAATAGTAAGTTACATAGGTACTAGCTATTACAATTCAATATCACTTAAAACAATCACAGAAATATTGTAAAAAATTGGTTTTTCTGAGTATTGTAAAGTTTCTATTGTATGATAAGTCAATTAATTGAATCGCACAAAGTGCGTTAAATGACGAATCAGTGTAAGCGTTAAATGATGCATAGAATGAAAAAAGTCAAATTTTGTAGAAGAATATTCTAATGTAATTATTGAAAGACTGAGACAATTTGTAACAGGAATTTGATTATGTTAAGTATTGCACCAAAAATGAAAATCAGATATGACATTTTTTAAGCTTTGGAGAATGTTATCATTTTTTAATTATTGTTATATTCTGAAATAAGGTAGAGAACAAATAAATAGATTGTAAGAATTTTACATGCCATTCTGTATATTTGATTTGCTGCGATAATTTAACAGAAAAACATACATTATAAATTGTTTTTCGTATTTTAGCCTATATTCTACAGGTTGTTCCCATGGCGTACAATTATTATTGCTGACATTCTCACGCATGATAGTCGCTGCATTTACTCAAATTATCTTGAATAATAATATTGTGCAAATTATTTGAACATACTTAGGACGTGAGAAAGTATTTCATATTGTCAATACACAATAATGCCTTGAAATGTCGCAAAATACAATTTACAAAAATTGATAATTTTATTTTGATTATTTCTTCTTAAAATTTGATTCGTCATAATACTCATTTGAATGCAGATGAAATTTACATAAAAACTTTTTTGTAAACTTTTGTGAGGAGCTTTTATCGATATATATATATATATATATATATATATATATATATATATATATATATCTTCAACAAAAATAAAAATTTTCTATAGTTATTTCTCGTCTATATCAGATTAGAATATTCATCTCATTACGATTATAACTCAAACTAACTTAATATCTTACATAAAATTAAATGCAATCGTTTCCTAACGCTTTATAAATTTCTTCTTAGAATTAATAAATATATAATAACTAAATGATTTAAAAGAATTAATGGATACAAAAAATGGAATATTCGATGTTTGATGAATGCCGTAGCATAAATAAAAGCAATGTTCAGAATTGGAAGAACTGGACGAAATGCAAGGCTTTGACTAGGACATGTTTATATTATAGCGACTAGATACAATTATTACGTCGATTATTACGTCCACATTGGGTAATCCTAAATAATACACAAGACCCCTAGAATTATGTAATGTTTACACATGCAATTAAAGGCCGTTTGGTTTCTGTCATTCGGACAAAAAAGTTTATTACAAATACTGCATTCAAGGGGTGCCAACTTCATTTTTACCTTCTCCTCGCTTCGTAAAAAAATAGATTTCATAACTTGTAAGCATCCGTAAAAAGGAGTTCCGTCATTAGCAAAAACAAGAGTATTTCTCGAATACTTTCGATAACGAAGTTAATTCCAATCAACAATATAAATTCTCATTTCGAATATAATTCATACACGTGAATAAACTCTATATAAAAAATTACAAACCATTTCGTCAACGAGGGCAAAAGATATCTATATAAAAGGGATCGTACGTCGCAGGTGACCAGCGCCTACGAGAACCGAATAAATGCGAGAAAGTTACACATGACCACATGGTGTGTATCACCGTCATTCGGGAAGACTCATTCAATTTGGTAAGGTTTCGTTGTGTTTCTCGCGCTACATTACACACGTTTCACACGCTAAAATAGTTGCCGTCTATTGTATTCAGGGTGAATCATGTGGATTGTTCAGCCGTTTCTTACGGAAGATAAACGCAAAGATCGATCGTATCCTCCACCAGCGGCTATGCTTTCGCGGACCTGTCGTTCGCGACCTCTCTTTCATCCGTATTTGCCTCACCAGTGAGTAGAACGAGTCGTCGATGAACTGGCGAAGCGCCGCGGACGTCTCGTAAAACGGACAGCCGAGCTGGCTCGCGAGCGCTCTGCCTTCGTCTGTCGTCACCTGCGAATTGCGGAGTTGCAGTTTATTGATTGACCGATTGACCTCTGGCGACCGATCGATTTCCTCGCTCACCTCTCTCTGAAGCTGCAAATCGAATTTGTTGCCCACGAGCACCATCGGAGTGTCTTCGTTAGCACGAACTCGCGATATCAGTTTGCGATACTCGATGACTTCGTCGAAGCTGTGACGATTCGTCACGGAATAGCAGATCATGAAACCCTCGCCGCAGCGCATGTACTGGTCTCGCATCGCTGTAAATTCGACCTGCAAAGCATAGCGTTAGCTGCGATCGCCGTCCTGATAGCTTCGTACGATTGGCTAGCCCAATGTTCACCTGGCCAGCTGTGTCCAGGATGTCGAGGAGAGCAGCTTCTCCGTCGATGACCGCTTGCTGTTGATACGAGTCCTCTGAAAAAGGTCCCTCGCATCAGCATTTTAATGCTACTAGAAACGCTTAACAAGTCCTCACCGATTGTCGGGTCATGATCGCTCGGGAAGCTGTGACTGACGAATTGAAGAGTAACAGCTGCAAATTTGAGCAATAGAATGAGATCTATTTTCGAAGAGCGTATCACCACTCCGAATTTACCTGATTTCCCAACGCCTCCTTCGCCGAGTATTACAATTTTGTAAACTCTGAGACCGCCTCTCGTCGTCGGTTGCGTGATGATGGGAATGTCATGCTTGCAGTCTGAATCCTGTCAAATTGCTCGTTAGCGTCAAAGCCCAAAACTCCGCGATCGATATCCATCAATTTTCCTCACTTTATAGTTACATAATTACTTGAATAACTCACCAAGTAAGAAGTACCTCTGTCCGATAGTACATCTGTCATTATTGAGCTTTTATCATGTCTGCTCGTACATTCGAACGACGTAGAAAGACGAAGAGAGCTCGAAACCTCAAAACTGTCCTCTCACCATTTCGTTTGCATTTTTCTCGTTGGATCATTATTCCCAAGATAATTAATGCGACAGCAAAATCGAAGGCCCATGCTGACGGGCTGCACCGTCTAATTAAGCACGCAGGCGGGTTTTGGCGCTATCTATTTACAGGTGGCACGCACACGCGCGCACTCTCTCTCTCTCTCTCTCTCTCTCTCTCTCTCTCTCTTTTTCAAAAGTAGGTCGCGGCGAGTCTTTTTATTGTAGTCGTTTGTTGCTTTTTATTGCGTGTATAGGCGGCGAACGAGTAGTACACGGAACAATTAGAATTTGATTGGAGAGCGAGTCGAAGGGCAGTCGGAGCGAAAAAAATTTTTCGGCGCGTGAAAAATAAAAACAAAGTCAACCGAAGCCCACGCGCAGTGCGGGCCAGTGTGTGACGGAGCTGTCAGGCTCCGGAGGAGACTGTCCACGGCTTTCTGGACTGGCGTTACGGATCCCTGGAGTTCCTCGCGTATGCGCACCAGCGCGTCGGGTTTGTGCGCACACGCAACTCAGAGTTTGCAAGCACACGCGCTGACTTTTGATCGACGCTTACATCTGATCGAAGTTGTGCTATTAGGTAATTTTGCACGATTCCCCTTTAACGTTGGATGACGTACATTCGTCAGTAAATAGCATAAAGCTTCTTTCTAAATATTATTGCCGAACTATTTTCAGGCAATTGGAATTTATCATAGCTTTTTTAAAATTAATTACGTCATTGAAAATAAAGAATAATGTTTTTGTAAAATTTATGGCAAGAAAACCAAAAACCGATAAAAAATTTGATTTGCTACATGATTGACATAAATCAGCGTTTCGCAAAACTAGTCAAAGATAAATTGTGAAATCTAGAATATGAAGGTCATTTCGTGATCGATCACAAACTTTTTAAAAATAATATTTATGAGAATATTTTAATCCTATTATGAGAAAAACCATAGAAATAGGTTTATTTTAATAGGAAAAAAAATGTTTGAATTAAAGTAATTAAAGTTGAACTTTGTGGTCTTTCAATGACAATGAAACGTTTTACTGCCAAGATTTGCTGATGGATTTTATTAGCTGAAGGTGTAAATATTAGTAAGTATTAAAAATTTCGATGATAAAGAGTCATCCCTTCCTCAAATAAACACAAACAACTATCTAATTTGCAAAACCAACATTTTGCTGACTACATTTGTCAGCCTCATCCGAGTTCCTTTTTATTAAATAAAAATAAATATTATAAATATTAAAAATTGTGTAAAATCAAGTCATACCAAAAAAATCACAAGCAAAGCAAAGATAAATAATCACATAAACATATATAATTAATATGCTTTGTTTGTAGTTTTTTTGTAGTATAATTTGATTTGATATAACTTTTAATGTTTGTAATATTTATTTTTATTTAAAAAAAGGGAACCCAGATGAGGCTGACAAAAATAGTCAGCGAAACGTTGGTTTTGCGAATTAGACAGTTTGTATTTATTTGAGGAAGGGATGATTCTCCATCGTCGACATTTTTAATATTTACTAAGATATAAAGAGTGAAGAGTGAAAATGATTATAATTATGAAGGTGTAAATATAATCTTAAAAATAACGACACTTTGAGAAATAAATATCAAGGAATCATATAGAAAGTCAAGTTTCTATTATAATACGTAATCCTAAACTTCGAGAAATTAAAACATATCTACGTAAATAGTTAAATTGCAATTTCCAACAAATAGACAAAGTAATTCTTGAGTAAAAATGGTAAAATAGCAATAAGATGCCGTCATTCATGGAAACTGCAGTATTCAAAAAAAAAGGAAAAGGCCGCGACAGTGAGTCCTGGTCGAGCCAAATGACAAATCTTTCCATCTGGAATCGCTGAATTTTTGCAGTCGTCATATTGCTTTAGACTATATTTTAATTTGCTGACTTATAATCGTGCAATGATTCAAGTTGGTAACCCCCGCCCCTTTTTGATATCTAAAAATATTTCTAACAAACGGGGACAAATGTCTTTCCTCCAATGGTTTGCCTAAACGAAAGGCAGCGTAGGCACCTAAAAAATTTAACGTTAATAAATGTCATCGTCTAAATTATGACTAATCGATTTTAAAGCGTTCTGTGCGGCGGTTTCTTTCACGTGAAAATCAAATTAATTCAACGACGAATTGGAGCTCTCATCGGTGTTTAAGATTACGTGGATTATTAGCGCACATCATAACAGAATCAAATTGACCTGCCATTGTACCAAATGCATACTATTTTTCGTTTAGAGACCAACCAGATTGATTGCAGCAAGCCGAGGATTGTGGTACATAATAGCCTTGTCCAGTGGCGGCTCCTGGTGGTGATCTTACCAACCATCTCAAATCGAAAATTCGAATTGCACGCATATCACATACAAATAAAAGCGATCGCGCAACTAATAAGGAACTTTTGCATACCACCTAGACAAGCCACTTCCATATACGTGTAACACGAATCATTAAAATTCTTAGCTCGCAAATGTGCGTGCGAAATCAATCGCAATGTGCGATATAATCGCGCAGCGCCTGTAAATAGCGCAAAAAAAAGAGCAAAGTCCGCAGGAATGCGCGCAATAAGTGACGCGAACTTGTTGCCTTAAAATATGACACTCGTCCCGCGCAGCAAAAGGGACAAAAAAAAAGTAGAAAAAAAAAGAAGAAGCGAAGGAGAAGGTATAAGCAAGTCTCTCGACTGGACTGTGCGGCGGCGAAGGAAGTGCGCGCTCGGGCAATAAAACAATATCGAAGCGAGGAGGGCGAGGCGAGATGCCTGGCTACGCTCAAAGAGAGCAAAACCCCTGCGACCGGTAGCCCCGAGCGAGATCCTTCTCTCTCGAGCGCACTCGAGTATTTCGGCGCGCATTCCTCGCCGATTTGACGAGATACGCGTAGGATTCTCGATCGCAAACGAGCCGCTCGCGCGCTTCGCTAATTATTTCTGCTCGCGACGCGGGCACCGTGACGCAAATCACGGACGCGAGCTCGCGCTTGTCGGGCCCCGCTATGCTGGCCAATTTGGCTTGGTCGCGGATTTTTCACGACCGAAGTTCGCGGGATCGAGACGTAGCTACTCTCTGCTCGTGGCAACGGACGCCACCATTACATTTATAAGGGCGCAGAGTCCAGAGAGCATATTCAGTTTATTGCGGAATTACACGACTCAATCGTTATCCGGTAGCTTCATTAAATGTCTCTCTTGTTTATTTTTTGAGACGGCATTCGTTAGACGCGCCTCACTAGTGCTCGCTGCATCCATATAAAATATCTCAACGTAAATTGACATCCCAATCGCTCGTTTTATTTGTAGAATATTTTGCTCTTGTCAAGCTCATTGGGTCATTGGAAAATTTTATAATATTTTTTCAGTCGCTTATGCGTTTATGACTTGTACCACATAGATTTCTACCTTGCACTCTAACTTAATTTGACATCGCGTAAAATAATTGAATGTACAGCTGAAAGCTTTTATCCGATGTAAAACAGCATTTGTGTCCGATTAGTGGTGATATCTAGCATAGATTCCTGTTGATGCTGAGATAATTGAATTCTTACGGAACAGATTTATAAATAGGCTGCCGTTAGTTTCGAGAGTGCGATCAATTATTGGCGCGACCACTGAAAGAAACCAAATTTGCAACTCAATTGAGCGTAAGATCGGTTAAGCAACGCAAAGATAATCGAAACGACATAAAAACAGTGCGCGCGCGCGCGCGCGCGCCTGTCCGCAATTAGCGTGGCGGGCTTAGGTGTAATTTATGCTCGAGCCGCGCCCAATTAACGGGGTGTAGGAGGGATGCCGATGTCGCGAGCGATTTTCTCGTTGCGATGCCAGCTCGGAGCACTTGGCGCGGAGCGAGTCCGTAAAGCGACGGGCTTTTTCTCTTTCCGCGGCGAAAATTCTTCCCGGCCAGATCGTAAAGGACGTAATTGATATACGCGCGCAATTAAGACTCGTAATAGACAAACGACCGTTCCGCGCCGAGCAGAATTTCAATGTTATCTCGCCGGGGCTTTATTTATGACGCGGTAATGGACTTGTCTTTTGTCAGCTGTTGCTCGCGATGCGCTTGCACGCCTCGCAGCTTTCATTTGCCACGCTGATTGTTACGTGTCGTTGATTTTAATTGAAAACTCCGGCCGCTTATAGCCGCCATAGTGGCTCTTGCGTTATTCCTCTCCTTGGTTTTTCTGCACATTCCCGGATGCCTTGATTAACCTTCGGGGAATACGGATGATTGCGACCGATGTCGTTCGATACTTTATCAACAGTGAATGTTTGATTTTGCTGTTCCGTCGACTCGGAAGGTGATAGATTTACATCGCTATTTAAGTTGCTCTTTATCAATCTATCTCTCAAATCATTTTTTTTTCAAATGGTATTAACAATCTCTTACGGTCGACTTTCGATCTCTCGATTACAAACTAATCATAAAACGCTAATTAATAGCGAACACAAGCAAGACAAGCACAGAATTTAATCTGTAATTCTTCAAACTTATATTATACTCATCCCACTCCTTTCTTCCTTTTCGTGTATTCGCAAATGTGCTCATTAATAAAGTTATAGCTCTTTAAAAACTCCATGGCGCATCCTCTTGTAAAAATATATCAGACCAATCGTTGGGAGAGCAAAAAGAAAAAGCGACGCAGGTAACTCGCGTCGAAATAAAAAAAACTCCGCGCCAATTATTCCGCTTTCGGCGAACGATCTCTCTCTCTCTCTCTCTCTCTCTCTCTCTCTTTGCGCGGCGTGCTTTTTTGCATATACGCTCGCGCCGAAAGATCTCAAAATGTAAACACGAGGCGCGAACATTCACCTCGCGTATTCTACCCGTACGCGTTTCTTTCCTCCCCCCCCTCCCGTTAGTGTCATCGTTGTCCGCAAGCGCATTTTCTTTTCGGCTGCTCTTGTTTATTCATCTTCTTTTTTATACGCGATTCCGCGGCAGCCCTTAAAATGTCCATGGGATGCCGTTCGCATTACCGTTGCGTAATATAAATTGAGAGCGCAACCGAGCCCCGAGAGACTTTAACGGGCAACGATAAAATATGCGTTTATTATAGGCCTCTTTCGCCTCGTTTTTCGTCGTTCGCGATTGTAGGTCTTAATTAGAGGCGCTCGCCCTTTTTCCTCCTCGCTACGGTTATCAGTCGGTCACCTTTGATCGGTTTATCAGACGAGGATCGCGACTTTTTATTAGTCAATTCGACGGCAGCTGATTATGCAAAGATATTTCCAAATGTAATGAGATTTCATGGAAAGAACTTCTGCTGCATTTGTAAGCACTTTACAGCAGTGAGATGACAGTTCTTTGAACTGCTATTGTTTCTGTTTTTTCCCCCTTTTTTTTATTTAAATAAAGCATTACTTTTACAACGGTATTTTCCGCCTTAGTAGAACCTTAGCATACAAATACCTTCAAATTCATAATTTATAAAGATATCCGTATGTCAGTCAAGAAAAACCAATTGTCATCGTGGCTTACATTTTCTTACGGAGAAATCAGAAGTGCTATGTAATTGACAGTTTTGCTACTTGGATGAAAAGCAACCTGCAATGATTAGCCTCGGTCTTGAAGAAATCTAGCTCGTAGTCTTCTCAGCGACGATGCTAATTGAATTTCCGCCTAAAGCACAGATACGACGGCCAAGGAAGAAATTGGACGGTATCGAAAGCAGTGAAGAGCCTCGGCGCGGCTATCGGCAAACAGCAGCGCAGAGGAATCCGAAGGTGGGAAGAGTTTGATCGGTCGGTCGCACAGCTGGCGCGCGCGGTACGGCGATATCGGCGAGCGAGAGAGGGCGCGGTGTATTACGGGGCTCCCACGCTTATCGAATGTTAATGACCCTAATGAACGTAACCGGAGCGAGGCCAACGACACGCGAGATAAGCCACGGCGACGCCGCCGTCGCCGCGGCGAAGGTTATTATTTATTTATGCTCGCGCGATCGAGGGGGAACCTGTTTGACGTCTCCCCGCGACGACCAGATTCTCGGCCGCAATCGTATCGCGCGCCGTCATTTTCTAGGATGATGCGTCAAACGTCCGAATGCGCTCGCCTCGTTAAATTGCAATCGCGCGACCCTTCATCTCTCGTTCGTTTCTCTCTCTCTCTCGCTCTCCTACTCGTGCGCGCGGTGATAACTCGTAAAACTCGAACCGCGGCGCCGTTTAGTTTTTGTTAATATTCATGAGCGATATCCTCGCGCGCTTTAATCACAAGGCTGCTGCGTGTGCCAGCAATGCGCGCCAGCGCCTCTTGCTTTATGCCTTCTGCTGCCGCGAAGCCTGTAATTTGACGTTGTCGTTTGCTACTTTGTTGCTGCTGCTGCTGCTGCTGCTGCTGTTACTTCTGTTCTCACACTACAAGATATGTACGGATGTCGACGCTTCTTTTGCTCCTTCTCGAGGAATTCTATTTCTCGTTATTTATTATTTTACTTTATTTTCATTTCGTTTGGTTTTTGCAGTGTATCGCGCTTATCATTAGATGGCTTTCGTCTACTCTTGACTCGAGTGTCTATCGCGTTTGCCGTTAAAAGTGAATATCTGTCAATGAATTTATTGCCAATAACGTGCTGATGTGCGATATCGAGATTGCAATTCAGAACGCATCGACAGAAATGTTAATCTTGTATTAGCGCGGTCTGTTTAATTCACGGATAATAAGCAAAAACGAGAGGTCCACTGACAAACCAAACGAAAAGAAATCCACGCCAGCGATACGCAGCGAGCGTGCGCGCTCGACGAGCTTTCGAAGAGCGATCGAGCAACGTCACTCGTTCCAACCTTATCAACCCCGTCTCGGACAAAGTGGAGCAGGCGCAGCGGCGCAGCGGCGCAGCGAAGCAAAGTAGCGCGCGTGCACTCTTACATGTAGAATTCACCTGGCGGGGCCGCGCGTTGCGATTCTTCGTCACGCTGCCGCCGATGGCCAACCGAATGAAACGGCGCGTGCGCGCGACGACGGAGCAACAAGTGAAACGCTCGCGCGCGCGCGCGCGCTCTCTCTCTCTCTCTCTCTCTCTCCGACGACGACGATCTGCGTCGTCGCCGTCGACGTCAGTAAGCCGACGCCGGGCGTCGGGTGTATAACGTCGACGATGAGCTGAGAACCTTTCGCACGTGAGTGTAAACAAAAGTCGGGCGAGCGGACGCGAGTGCGCGTGTGAGTGAAAGCTCGCGTCGACCGCGAAGGAGGATGGGCAGCCGGTGCCCTCCCCCGCCGACGCCGCGCTTTCGCGTCGCGGGCGCGATCATTTCCACGGGCGTTCGTTTCGCCTCGGCCACCAAAGTCGCGCGATCTCCGCGCGAGCGTCGTCGTAGGCTTCGCACGGATCGGCTCGGCGCTTTGCCACGCCAAACCGTCGGCTGGCTGCGACGACGACGAGGTGTTCTCGGCAAAAGTCGAAGGCTGCAGCAGCGAGCTACAAGGGGCGTATCAGAGTGCGCTACCACAGCGCTCGCTCGCTAGTTATATTGTTCGTCTCGGGCCATTATTATATCGCGAAAGAAAAGCGGTCGCGCCAGATAAGATAGCGAGCAAGTGTGTGCGCTACACACGCGCGCAGACAGGCTGTGCAGCCGCGAGCGCCTCGTTATCGCCGCACAGTTGCATTATATCCTAACCACGTATATACCACCTGGGTCTGCCCTTATCTCTTGGCTCTTATCTCTTTCTCTCTTGAAGCTTGACCTCTGGCACCTGCGGGCCAAACCCATTAAATTTAATCGGCCTGCGAGCGTCGAAAAAGAGGAGCACGCTGCTGTGCTGCAGATTTGCATAATTCCAGAGAGAGAGAGAGAGAGAGAGAGAGAGAGACTGCAGTTGCGAGCCCACTGGACCGCGAGCGAGCGCTGAGCAGCGTGCGGAGCGAGAGAAACGAGGTGAGGCGAGACGAGGCGAGGCGCATCGGCCTGCTCTCTTTAAACCGTTGGGCGTTCACCCCGAGACCTCAGCCGATGTGTACGTGTATGTGTGTGAGAGAGAAAGAGAAGGCTTCTCGTTTATCCTGCGCGCGACCACCTCTCTGTCTCTGTCTGTCTGTCTCTCTCTCTCTCTCTCTCTCTCTCTCTCCACGTTGACGCAAATCTCATCTGCGACTGATCTCTCGGGAGCCGCTTCCGGCCTCCGGCATCCCAATAAGTTCGATAAGCGGTTTTGTTTGCCACGGACGCTAAGGATGTCATACCGCTCGAGACGACGCGGCATCGACTTCTCTCTTTCTCGTTGCGCTCCCCAGTTTTCCTTGAATCGACACGAGCGGCCGTTTCAAGTAGAAAATAGAGTGGATTGAGTTTGACGTGGGCCCAAGAGGATCTTGAATTTTTAACTCGCTGTCGTTTCAACGTTCACACGACTGACGTTCCGAATAGAGATTTGCGGTTTCCTCGTTGGTTCATCCATTTTTCGACGGCAACGATTCGCGTGTTCCATGTGATCTGTAAGTGTCATAGTCGCCATTGCACGATAGAACACGAAGAACTTTGTGTGCCTTATCAAACGCAGCTTATCGCGTTAAGATCGGCAATAACAGAAAACAAGGCTGCAGCTACTTTTTAATTACTCAGCGGCGCGTTACTCTCAAACAGCGCATAAATCAAGAGCCGAGAGAATCCGATCTCGAGAGCGCGCGCCGAAAAACGCACTGTAGTAAGGGTATAAAAAAGGAAAAGGAAGCCGAGAGGAGAGAGAGAGAGAGTCCACTTAAATCGGCGTAACCTCTTAGCCCCGCGTGTGGCTTAGCTGCTGCTGCTGCTGCTGCACCTGCGCCTGCCGCAGATGCAGACTCGAGATAAAAGGGAATATAATAGCAGCAGCGCTACCTCGAGGTTCTTCGCCTTCGTCGTATGAAAGATTGACGAAAGGAAAGAAAGGAATTCGTATCGATAGGCTACAAGAACGACATCGCCGCGCGCAAGGTCGCCGTTCGTCAATTGGCGCGCGCGCTTTTTGTCATATTTCGGTCTAACGGTCGATCGCGTATTCGCAAAGTGGAAGCGCGGCTTAACGATGGGCCGGTAAGCAAAGCAAAAAGAAAAAAAGAAAAAAAACTAGCAAAAATCCACACGCACGCACTCAAACAAACACGCGCACGCGCACCGCGCCGTTTCAGCAATTAAATCGCCGACATTGTTTTTACGCGCGCCCGCTAAGCGAACGCGTACATATTCAACGAGCGATGCTCTGATTTCTATTCGCCGGGATTTTTGCAGTTTCTAATCGCCAGGAAGTGCCGGCAGACTGCGAGAGCACGAGAGAGAGATGCTTTTTTTACTCGCGGCTTTTAAAACGCGCGCCTTGGAATTCTCGATGTTTATGCGCCGATGCTGCCGAGGCGCTCGTACAGTTTTTCGACTGCGCTCGTAAAGTGCTGCTTGTAAAAGTAACCGCCGAGCGCAAAATACGCGAACGGCGAATTTGTCAAGGTATATCGTCGAATCCACCTCGTTGCTCCCGCGAGTTCGCGTGCCGTTAGATTTTCAATTTGCACTGCTCGCGGAAGCCCTATCGTCGATCTGCGAACTCTGCCGACAACATTATCCATAAACGCGCGTTCTAAACCACTTCATCATCCGCGTCACGAACGTTATAAAATAATCGCATGCAACGATCGCCGGTACGTAATCGTTGCCGAAAAAAAAAAAAAAAAATGAACAGAAAAGACCAACAAACTCGAAACCGTTCAACGATCGTCGGCATCATACTCGAGCTTAACAAGCTGGAACGCAAAAAATAAAAGGAAAAAGGGCGAAATAAAAAGTGATAATGAAAAAAATAAGAATGCAAAAGGAAAAAAATGGAGTTCCGTTAACGGAGCTGTGCATCGATGTATTTTCGATGGCCGTTTGGCTTGGCCGTGCCTCTCCGCGCCGAGAGATATACTTGGCGCGGCGTGTGGGTGCTGTTGCCGCGCTGGCGGTCTTCCAGCAAAGCGCGCGGAGGAGTTTCTCTGACCATCGTCGCGGCAAGCAGCCTCTGACCTCACCCGAAATAACCTCTCGATCGTCGCTCGCTATTTCCGTTGCCTCGCTAGCGCGCGGAACGTCTTTATCGTCGCGCACACCCACACGCGCGCGCACGCGCGCGCTCTCGATAGAAAAGGCACGAGCGGTTTTGTTTTGAAATTCCACGCTCCGACCGAGATATTACAACTCCTCCCCGTCGTATATATTAATCGCGAGAGAGGCCTCTCTCGGAAATTACGAGCCGATTTCCGGCCACTTGTTCTTCTTCTTCTTCTCCTTCTTCCATTAACATGCAAATTCGATCTCTCGAAAGGGTCACGATCGCTCTCCGCACTCTCTCTCTCTCTCGCGCGCGCGCGTCCTATAATACGCCTCTGCCGTTTAATTGGCTTGGCTGCCGCGCAGCCAAGCGAGCTCGTTTTTCATACGGAGCTTTTCCACTCCACCCCTGTATATGTGTTGAATTCGGTGGCAATTACGGTAGCAAAACCGGTACCCACACGTACACACACGGAGTGCAAGAGAGAGATAGCATCTTCGATGGAAAATCGAGTATGGCCGTTGCCGTTGCCGCTGTTTCGTATTAATATCGCACGCCGAGCTGCTGCCGCCGCCGCTGCTGCCGCGGCTGCCGCGGCTGCCGCTTCTTGCGCAAAGCACGAAATATTCTAATTCTGTCGAGTTGTCCTTTTGCGCGCTGCCGCCTGAGTTCTCAAACACAGAGGGAGAGCGAGAGAGAGAGAGTGAAATGTTACGGATCGTGTCTCTTTCTCTCGACGATGTTTTGCAAGTTCGAATGCATTATGCCGCGTGCGTGTTGAACGTTGCTGGCCGATCGATCATGCACCGCGCGCGCGCGCGCGCGTCGTCCGCTGGCGCAACCGCATAATGCTTCCACCGCTATTTACCGACTTCTCGCGTCGCGATGACTTTTATTAAACGTGTTGCAATTCGACGCATCGCAACGGAGGAGCAAGCGGCTCGAGCTTACGTCGACGATTGGACGTTGCACAGTTCGTCGATCAACCTGGCGGACGATCCGGAGCGGCGTGGAGCAGCGAGCCCGGAGGCGAGTCAGCGAGGCGGCGGCTGCGGCAGTCGGCTCGACTCCATCATCGACCACCTGCGATCTGCCTTCGAGAGCAGGCTCCGCGACAATGGTCAGTACACACATACGCGCGCGCGCACTCGCACACACACATATATGTAATATCGCCGCTGCAGATCGACGCGAGCGCGCGCGCCAAAGAAGAACGGGGGAGAAGGGCGCGCGCAGCAGAAAGGAGAAGCTGAATGGAAGCTGCGCAGATCGTTAATCTTATATGGGTTGTACGCTGCCGCCGCGATATGCCCTCTGAGAGTGTTAGTGACTCTGCGATATTTCGCTAGCCAGCGATGGCTTATTACTCGCATTTATTTATTTTCAATCGCGCTAGGCCATTTCCAATTTCCTTGTCGAGGGGCTTCGTCGCTGCGCTACGAAAACGCGCCACCAGATGACTTTCTCGCGCTCGATACCAAAGCCTTCGTTTGCCATCGTTTAATCGACGCCCCAACAGTGACCACCCGTACTCACGCGAACGGGACTGACAATTACGTTATTCCGCAGTCGTGACTATATGATTGTCAACTGTTTGATCGTTAAGATATCACGCCGTCGACGTAACAAACCGGCGCAGTCGAATTAGCGAACGAAATGAAAAACAAAGCAACGACAGCAAAAGTAAAGGGAAGGAAACGATGGCTCTCGTGGATGCGAGTTTAGATATCTCGGGCGTTATCATAACACATCCCATATCCGTTGCCATAGCCCAGGGCGCGCACGTATATACATCAGGCTGCGCGCGCTCGCGCTCTATCGGACGTTGTATATATGCAGATATGCGTACGCAACGAGAGGAGAAGAAGAAGAAGAAGAGGGAGAAGAAAACTACGGTAACTGCACTCATCAGATCGACTCTTCGCGATAGGTATACGCGTGTGCGGAGTATGTACTTAGTGAATGGACCTCTCTCTCTCTCTCTCTCTCTCTCTCTCGCGAGATCGTTACAGATACAGAGCCGCGGGCGGCAGCCTCTCCCCATAAATCCTCCCCGGGCACAATTACGCGCCGCCGCGCGGCAGCGCGATGGCCCTGACCCCGACGCACCCAGGTCGACAAGAGACAACCGCCCAGCGGTGGCAATTAGACGACCGGAAAATCACGGAAATTCAGGTTGTCGGCGCAACGCTGCGCATGCATTATTTATCCGTTCCACGATGCACTCCGGCCACGGACAATTGGGATATGTGACGGTTTGACGTCGGCTGTTTCCCCTTGATTTTTTAAGCGGACAGCCGTATCGGAAATCTGGAATGTGTTGCTCCTTTTGACCACGAGCTCCGAGGGGATTGTCAACTTACTGCTCGCGCGCTCTTTTCCTCCTCCGATTGACGTTCTTTGATAGAGGTGTCGGGAGATCGGAGTAAGGAATAGAGATGAGGAATATTTGAAATCTGATCGCTTCGAATGATTCTGCTTCTTCTTTTTATTTTTATAACTTTTCATATTTTTTACAGGCGTGATAGCGATAATGAATTATCTGCGAGTTGCTATATGTCGATCAGCAGATAATGCATATTTTTCAATACCAAACATAAAATTGCGCATTATCTGTATCGTTTAATATAGAAAGGATGAACGTAGATGTTAAAGTAATAATAACAATAATAATAATAGTATTTGGTTAAAATTACACAATTTTGAAAATCCATCATCTCTGACACACCCTACAACAATCAAGTACATTACTCCAAATTTTCACTGCTATGCATCACTTACGAAGGAAAAGTGAAACCAATCTGCATTCTCATCACTATAGATAGCGACCGTAAATCATTTTGGGGAAATTGTTCTTACATTTTTGAAATATTTTTTGATACAGTACGATAACGAAATCTCTACTTCGATGATATGATTTTATTCTCGTCTTGCTTTATCAGAAATGCACAGATAAAAAAAACCGATCCTGCCTGTAATCTATTAATCGAGTTAATAAAAGCCTCCAAAACATTTAAATGGAGCAGATGAAACGCGAAACGAACAATAAGCATCAGAAATCTTGTAACAATTGAAGAAAATGCCATGGTCCGAGCAGGAAACGCACTCGCATCATCATCGTCGTGGTATACAAGCGTGCCCAAAGAAAGCTCACTGTCGCGAAAATAAAAGAGTCGAGCCGTGGGCTCGCCGGGTTGCGCGCTGGATGCCATAGAAGCCGAGCGAGAATTTATCAGCGGACGGTCCATTGTACGCGGGAGGCTGCGCTCTGGGTGCCATCACGTCGCGGCGACAGCTCTATCATTAGCGGGCATAATTCCGCGCGCGGCGCGATGCTAATGAGAAAACTCGCGGCGCGCGCGACCGTAAAATCATCAGTCACGAGGCTCTGACCCCCCTGGCGTCGCGCATCAATGCAGCTCGCATTGAGCGTCACCGCCCGAGATATATACATATATATATATTTATATTTATATATATATATGTATATATACGTATATATGCAAGCGCATCGAACGATAAAAGCCGCGCGCGCGCAGCGCGATTGACGTATCACTGCGCGCCACGCCTATGTCGCGATCCAGTTCTTCGTCCCAGCGTCGTGTAATCTCCGCGCGGTCCTGCCCACGCGCACTTGCGCGCGGTCGGCCTAACAAAAAACAGGGCGAACGAGCGTGTCGCCGATATCGCCGCGACGACGTCTCCGCTCTTGCTCGCGAGTTTTAGAGACACACCGCTCGAGGGAGAGAGAGAGACTTGTTCGACCGAGTCCTACGCGATGCTTTATGCCGGGACTCCGGATTAAGTGCTCGCTAACGGAGAGGGAAAGAGAGAGAGAGAGAGAGAGAGAGAGAGAGAGAGAGAGAGAGAGAGAGAGACAGAGACAGAGAGACAGAGAGAAGGATCGTACGGCTTTGAGGAATATATACTCTCCTCCACGACGACGAGGCTTATGAGGCAAAAATCACTGGTGATTGCCTCGTATAGCTGATTTATGGTTATTCGCCTGAGCACGGATGAAAAGAGATACATATGCTCGATATGCGTGCTGATACCAGTGTTTCTCTTCCTCTAGTCAGGCTTTTCTTTTCGCGTTTCAAGATTGAAACTACTGAAAGTTTTATGCGCGTAGGTCGATGGAATTGAAAAATCGATCGATCGTTAAAGTAGTTTGTACGTCGGCTACTGGGTGGATTGAAAAATCATTTTCCCGTCATTTCAAAGACGCTTCTTGCCTCTATTAAAGAACGGGAGATCTTATCGTATGGTGGAAATTGAAACGGAATAAACTGAGACTCGACGTAAGTGTAGTATCTGCAATTTTTCATACTATTTTTTTCCCACTGTTGAATATTAATTTACTATGGATACTTTTACAGGACGATCCAATCAAAAATTGTTGATTTTTAGACTGGCGTTAATTTATTCATCTTTTCTTGGAGGTTTTAGATAAACTTTTAATAATTTACATGTTGTTAACATGTAAATTATTATCGTGTTCAAAAGTACGATAATAATTTTTCTGCGATGAAAAAACTTTTCGAATTGATTTTTTTGCAGCTGCCAACGGCCTGTAAGAATATGAAACAACAGTACGCAACATAGTTTCGTTAATTTATATTAACTTACTGCCTTGAATACAATTTTACAAGAAAAAAATGGAATAAAAAGTTTCCATGTGCCGTCCCAATAAATAAACTTGAACTTTGACCAACCACGTGTCGCGTGACAAACGCACTTTAGTAAATCATGGCAAAAAAAGGCCGAAAGAAAAAGAACTCACTCTGGCCGACGCTCGAAATCAAATAAAAATTCGCTGAAAGTAATGAACTCCGATGCATGCTGCGAGATAAAAACTGAAAAATGAAAGCTCACGCGAAGCCCTTAAAATGACTAAAATTCCTCATAACAAGATTCCAAATCAGGCAGCATCTTTCTCCCTTGGTCTTTGCCCGTGGCGTATCTCGTAGCATCAATCCCCCTTGATAATTTACAACAGTGAGCCAAGCGTACACGTTGCGGGTGTCTTTCCGCGAAGAAAAAAGGCACGAGGCGAGCCGCGGCGCGCATTTATATGTGTGTATACAGATATAGATATATATACACGCGCGAAGCGCATACAAACACTGGCGTGGCAGCGAAAAATATGAAGAGAACGAGGACCAAGCGCAGGAGGTCCGTGCAAATTATGACGCGGCGAAACAATGCGGATATCTGGACGCCGATCTCAATGGGGGTTAATTAACACGAGCGAGGTCCTCGCGCGCCACCTGCCAGACTCGGCGCTTTTTCGGCGGCCGCGCCATCGCCCCGCGCTATCGCGCCATCCATCGGGGACCGCCGCTGTCGCCTTATCGCGCGCGACATCTAACTTCGCTGCCGTTTAATTTGATTTTTAGTGGGTTTTAAAAGCCCCCGGCTATCCCGCCTTCTCTCCGGCACCTTCGCCTCTCTTGTTTCTTTCCTGATCGCACTAATTGCTTGATTAGCTAGATTGACTGATCAGTAATAGCGCGGCTTTGAGATCTTCATTCTTTTCTTTTTTTTCAGACTGATTGACTTTTCACGCTCTGAAATCTGCCCTAATATTTCTTTTTTGTTCTTTCCGAATAACAGTGCCGCGTTTCTCTTTTCTAAGTTGTATCGTTACTTTTCTTATTATTGGATATTCGATCGCTCCACTGCTGTTCGATCAAAGAGAGCCTGCTATCGAAGATATCTTGCGGCGATAGACGGATTAAAAATATTTTTTGCAAAGTCAGAAACTCTTTCGCGAAAAATCGAATACTACGAGACTTCGAAAGAAGATTTGTCAAAGCATTTAATTATGTCCTCCGTGACGTTGCGAAAAACATTCCGTAAAGTATAGATGCACGATAAACCGACGACTACGAAATTTGAATGCTGTTCGGTATTTGTGCACAATTGCCGTGGCAGCGTAACACGAACGGCCACGAGCCAACCGGAAACGTTCGACAGAATAAAAAGTCGGTACAGCAGTACTACAGCTTTGAAAATTAATTGAAGCCTACTCGAGACACGAAACCGCGACTATCCCGAAAAAAAAAAAAAAATAATAAGAAGGAGAAGGAATCGAGACAAAAACACGCGCGGCGCGCT